AAGATGATTTTACCAGGGAAGACACCAGCAAAACTGTCTGCCTTCTCAATGAGCTCTTCATCAGGAATTGAGGCAATGGACTCGTCCTTGCATTGGCCAAGAAGGGAAGAAGATGGATACATGTTGGTACCCATGCCAAGCCAATACCCAGCCTCTTTGCCGATGGCAAGTTGATCACCGATGATCATTTTGACATTAACCCCGAGATCAAGAGCCTTATGGATGGTCTATGCACTATCATGCCTTGGAGGGTCAAAGAGGGGGAACAAACCAACAAACTCCCAAGGTCCACCAGCACTTTGAGTTAAACAAGATCAATGATCTATCAAAATATCAAAAGAACCATTGTGTGCTAGATATAAGACTATTAACATAACTGTACAATTTAGGATATTTCCCTTGCTCTGGGGCACCCTTGCTGATTCTATGCTAGTCTCCATTGGAGTCAATGTAAGTAATTGCAGTACGTTTATCCACCAGGTTGAAGGGCAAAAAATGCACCTTCTTGATTCCTGCTCCTGCCTTGTTGGAATCAATCAACATATTAACATCTCAACCCTAGAAACTCTGGCAGAAAGCAAGATAAAGTTCTTTGGGAACACCTCAATCAAATTTCTTTTCAACTGAGCTTATTGATGGTAAGGATTCCAGTCTTATCACTGCAGAGAACATCCATTCTGGCCATTTCCTCAATGGCAGTTATTCTGTTGGTGATAGTACCTTTCTGGGATAGCTGATGAGATCCAATATCTGTTGTTACAGACAAAACTGTTGACATGGCAGTTGGGATACCTCCAATGAGTAGCACAAGCAAATTGTCGATTCCTTCTCTGTATTTACAGAGCTGGATCGGATACATAACCACAAACTCTTATCAGTGTACCCATATCAATGGAGCAAATACAGAAGTTCCCAATGGCAGTCAACACCTGATAAAAAAAAACATAAAACACATTGTTAGAATGCTCAAACTTAATTTCTCGTGCCATAAACATGAGATAAATCCGACATTGTTGGTGCTGTCCACAATGTGAGCATCCTTGCCAAAGAAGGTGTGAATACCAGTGACAATGACTACTGCCCCGATCTCACCCTGTTTGCAAGTGGAACCAGAGAAAACTTCGCAACCTAGGTTTTTCGTGTCAATGAGATTGAATAAGATTATGGAGATTGTCGAAGATTACGATTATTTTATCATTATAATTGTACCATATATTGATAGATTTCTTTTACCATATTTAATTATACTTTTGGTTCTATATAATGAGAGAACCCTTCACACAGAGGGCTATTGAGTGTTTTATTGAGTATATTTGACATGGTATCAGAGCCTTTTCTTTA